TCACCTTTCAAAAAAATTCATTAAACCAACAAAAATATAAATCAATCTATTTTCTCTCTTCTCTTACTCTCAATATCTTTACATCCTTATAAAGGCAATTGGACAAAATAACAACTTCTCTATCACAAAACACATCCTCCACCCAACCCACCCACCAACACAAAAAGACGAACCTACATCACACACACACCCAACACACTCAAATCACCGTCTCACTACACCACATAAAACAAACAACAACAAAAAAAAAAAAAAAACACTGTGCAACTTTTGAACAATCATCAAAAATCACAACCACAAATAAAAAGCCACTGCAAATAACATTTAAAAAATCACAACCACAAACAAAGTCACCAAAAAAAAATAATAGCAAAAAATCACATGAAAACACGAAATAACCTCCAAAAATTCACAACCACAAAGCCACAAGAAAGAAAATTAAACCCAAAATCACAACCACAAACTAAACCACCTAAAATCACCTCCAAAAATCACAGCCACACACAAAGCCACAAAGAATCTCAACCACAAACAAAGCCAGAAATCAACCACAAACAAAGCCAGAAAGGAGAAAATTCAGTCCAAAACAAACAAATCCAAGAAATTCAGCGCACAAAACGAAAACCAGACAGAAAAAATCAGTCCACAAAACACAAAGCCAGGAGGGAAATCAGTCAAACCCAAACAAAAGCCAGAAAAACAGAAAACAGGTCACAAACAAAAGCCAAGGAAAAGAAAGGGCAGGGAGAAATTAATCAGTTTCACAAAACAAGAGGCCAGAGAAAAGAAAGAAATCAAATTCACCAAAAAAAACAAAGCCAGAGGAAAGAAATCAGTCAACAAAACAAAGCCAGAAAATCAGTCCACAAAAACAAAGCCAGAAGAAGGGAAAATCAGTTCACAAACAAAGCCAGAAATCAGTCACAAACAAAGCCAGACAATCAGCTCACAAACAACAAAAGTCAGGCAAAAACAAAAAAACCAGGGAAATCAGTCACAAACAAAGGCCAGAAAATCAGTCACAAACAAAAGCCAGAAATCAGCACAAACAAAGCCAGAAATCAGTCACAAAACAAAGCCAGAAATCAGTCACAAAAAAGCCAAAAACCACGAAACCAAAATCAGTCACAAAACAAAAACCAGAAATCAGTCACAAACAAAAAAACCAGAAAGCCAGGAAATCAGTCACAAACAAAGCCAGAATATCAGTCAACAAAACAAAGCCAGAAACATCGCGACCACCTCAGTCACAAAACAGAAAGCCAGGAAATCAGGCAACAAACAAAGCCAGGAAATCATTCACAAAACAAAGCCAGAAAAATCAGTCACAAAAANAATCAGGCACAAACAAAGCAAAATCAGTCACAAACAAGCCGAGAGCATCAGTCAAAACAAAGCCAAGAAATCAGGTCACAAACAAAGCCAGAAACAGTCACAAACAAAAGCCAGAAATCAGTGCACAAGGTAAGCAAAGCCAGAAATCAGTCACAAAAAAGCCAGAAAATTCAGTCCCCAAAACAAAGCCAGAAATCATCACAAACAAAAGTCACAAACAAGCCAGAAAGTCAGTCACAACAAGCCAGAAATCAGGCCAACAAACAAAGTGCAGAAGTCCAGTCACACAAGCAGAAATCAGTCACAACAAACCAGAATCAGAGTCACAAAACAAAGCCAGAAATCCTCACAAACAAGCCGAAATCAGTCACCAAACAAAGCCAGGCAATCAGTCAACAAAACACAAGCCAGAAATCAGTCACAAACAAAGCCAGAACATCAGTCCAGCAAACAAAGCCAGAAATCAGCTCACAACAAAGCCAGAATCAGAACTCAAAACAAAGCCAGGAAATCAGTCACAAAACAAAGCCAGAAATCAGTCACAAACAAGAGCAGAAAATCAAGGTCACAAAACAAAACCAGAAATCAGGTCACAAACAAAGCAGAAAATCAGTCCACAAACACAGCCAGAAATCAGCTCACGAAACAAAGCCAGAATCAGTCACAAACAAAACAGAAATCAGTCACAAACAAAGCCAGAAATCAGGGCCAAACAAAGCAGAAAATCAGTCAGCAACAGCCAGAAATCAGTCACAAAACAAAGCCAGAATCAGGCCAACAAAGCCAGAAATCAGTCACAAACAAAGTCAGAAATCAGTCACAAACAAAGTCGAAATCAGTCACAAACAAAGCCAGAAATCAGTCTCACAAACAAAGCCAGAAATCAGTCACAAACAAAGCCAGAAATCAGTCCAAACAAAGCCAGAAATCAGTCACAAACAAAGCCAGAAAATCAGTCAACGAAACAAAGCCAGAAAATCAGTCACAACAAAGCGCAGAAATCAGAACTCAACAAAGCCAGAAATAGTCACAAACAAAGCCAGAACATCAGTCACAAACAAAGCAGAAATGCAGTCCACAAACAAAGCCAGAAATCAGGCACAAACAAAGCCAGAAATCAGGCACAAACAAAGCCAGAAATCAGGCATCAAACAAAGCCAGAAATCAGCCACAAACAAAGCCAGAAATCAGTCACAAACACAGAGACAAAGCCCAGAAAATCAGTAAAAACAACAGAATCAGTCCAAACTCAAAGCCAGAAATCAGTTCCATCACAAAAGCATAGCAGAAATCAGCTCACAAACAAACCAAGAAATCAGTCGACAAACAACCGCACACAAATCAATGGCACACCACACACAAAGGAAATCGAGTCACAAACTACAGCCGAACTCAGTTCACATACAAGAAAAGCCAGAAATCAGTCACAACAAGAGCCCAGAAATCCAGCTCACAGCACCTCAACAAAGCCAGAAATCAGTCACAAACAAAGCCAGAAATCATTCACAAACAAAGCCAGAAATCAGTCACAACACAAAGCCAGAAATCAGTCACAAACAAAACCAGAAATCAGCCACAAACAAAGCCAGAAATCAGTCACAAACAAAGCCAGAAAATCAGGCACAAACAAAGCCAGAAGTCAGTCACAAACAAAAGCCAGAAATCAGTCCACAAACAAAACCAGAAATCCAGTCACAACAAGCCAGAAATCAGTCCACAAACGAAAGCAGAACACATGCAGATCTAAGTCAACGAAATAGAATCAAACAAAGCAGAAATCAGTCACAAACAAGCCAGAAATCAGTGATCAACAGAGCCAGAAAGCAGATGGCTCTATATCACACTCAACAAGCCAGAAATGCACACTCAACAAAACATAAGCCAGAATCAGTCACAAACAAAGCAGAAATTCAGTCACAAACAAAAGAGAATCAGTCACAAACAAAGCCAGAAATCAGTCACAAACAAAGCCAGAAATCAGTACAACAGAGAGCCAGAAAATCATCACAACAAAAAAATCAAGTATCACGAAACAGAGAGCAGAAAATCAGTCACAAACAAAGCCAGAAATATACACAAATCAAAGCCAGAAAATCAGTCACAAAACAAAGCCAGAAATTCAGTCACAAACAAAGTCAGAATGCAGTCAAAACAAGAGCCAGAAAATCAGATCACAAACAAAGCCAGAGAAATATCAATGCACAACAACGCCAGAACAGTTCACAAACAAAGACAGAAATCAGTCACAACACCAAAGCAAAGGAATCAGTCTCAGCAAAAAACCAGAAAATCCAGTCACACATAAGCCAGAAGTCAGTCACAAACAAAGCCAGAAATCAGCCGCACAAACAAGCCAGAAATCAGATCCGCACAAACAAAGCTCGAGAGTCAGTCACACACAACAAACGCCAGAAATCAGGTCTCACAACAACAAAGCCAGAAATCAGTCACCAAACAAAAGCCACAGATTTAGTCACAAACAAAGCCAGAAGTCAGTCAGCAAACAAAGGCAGAAATCAGTCAATAAGGTGGGCAAAACAAAACCAAGAAATTCAGTCACAAACAAAGCAGAAGTCAGTCACAAACAAAGCCAGAATCAGACAAACAAAGCAGAGAAAATCAGTCACACAAAGCAGAATCAAGTCCCCAAAAAGCCAAATCAGTCACAGACACAAAGCAGAAATCAGTCACACCACACACACAGCCAGAAATATATCACAAACAAAACCAGAAATAGTCCAAACAGAAAGGGAGAAAGCTCTAGAAGTGCCAGGAGAGTTCAGGCACAAGAGCAGAAATCATCACAAAACAAGCCAAGAAATCAAGTCACAAACAAAGCAGAAATCAGTCACAAACAAAGCCAAGAAATCAGTCCACAAACACATAAGCCGACGAAAAGCTCGAATCAAGTCACAACAAAGCCAGAAATACAGTCAACACAAGCAGACAAATACAGTCAGAAACAGAGAAAGTCAGTCGCACAAACGAAAGCACACGCAAATCAGTCGACAAACAAAGCCGAGAAATCAGTCATACAAACAAAAAGCCAGAAATCAGTCACAACAAAAGCAGAATCAGTCACAAACAAAGCCAGAAATATATTAACAAGCCAAGAAATCAGTCAACAACTAACAGCCAGAAATCAGTCACAAACAAAACAGAAATCTCAGTCACACCACAAGACCGAAATTCAGTCACAAACAATAATCGTACAGATAACAAAGCCAGAAATCAGCCCACAAAGTCAGAAATCAGTCCACAAACCAAAGCCAGAAATTCAGTCACAGAAAACACAAAAGCCAGGAAAGTCAGCTGTCAGAGAGAGCCAGGCAGTCACACAACAGAAGCCAGAAAAATCAGATCTCCAAACAAAAGCCAGAAATCAAGTCCACAATCAAAAACCAATCCAGTCACAAAAAAGCGAAATCAGTCCACAAACACAGCCACAAATCAAGTCACAAAAAAGCCAGAAATGCAAGATCGCACAAACAAAGCCAGAAATCAGTCACAAACAAAGCCAGAAATCAGTCACAAACAAAGCCAGAGAAATCACAGTCACAACAAGCCAGAAATCTAGGATGAATCAAGCCCAGAAATCACAGGTCACAAACAAGCCACCTGCTATGACGGAAACACACGACCAAGAAAACCGACCGAAATCATAAAAAACCTCCAAACAACCCCTCCCCTAAAAAAGAAAAAAAAAAAAAAAATTCACAAAAAAAAAAACACCGAAATCATAAAAAAAACTCCAACAACCCCCTCCCTCAAAAAAAAAAAAAAAAAATCACAAAAAAAAAAAAAAACTCCACGAAAATCATAAAAACTCCAACAACCTCCCCCTAAAAAAAATCTCCAAAAAAACACCGAAAATCATAAAAAAAACTCCAACAACCCCTCCCCCCTCAAAAAAAAAAAAAAAATCACCAAAAAATCACCAAAAAAAAAACACGAAAATCATAAAAAAAACTCCAACAACCCCTCCCCTCAAAAAAAAAAAAAGAAAAAAATCACCTCAAAAAAAAAACCCGGAAATCATTTAATAAAACTCAAACAACCCCCCCCTCAAAAAAAAAAAAAAAAAAAATCACAAAAAAACTACCGAAAATCATAAAAAAACTCCAACAACCCCTCCCTAAAAAAAAATCTCCAAAAAAACACGAAAATCATAAAAAAAAAACTCCAACAACCCTCTCACCCCTCAAAAAAAAAAAAAAAAATCACCCAAAAAAAAAAAAACACGAGGAAAATCATTTAAAAAAACTCAACAACCCCCCCCCTCAAAAAAAAAAAAAAAAAAATCACAAAAAAAACCGAAAATCATAAAAAAAACTCCAACACCCCTCCCCTAAAAAAATCTCCCAAAAACACGAAAAATCATAAAAAACCCAAACCCTCAAAAAAAAAAAAAAAAACCAAAAAATCACCCAACAAAAAAAAACACCGAAAACATAAAAAAAATCCAACAAGCCCCCCTCTCAAAAAAAAAAAAAACACAAAAAAAACAAAATCATTAAAAAAAATCAACAACACCCTCCCCTCAAAAAAAAAAAAAAAAAAAAAAAAAAAAAATCACCCCCCCCAAAAACACCGGAAATCATTAAAAACGAAAACTCCAACAACCCCCCCCCCTAAAAAAAATCTCCAAAAAAACCCACCGAAATCATAAAAAAAACCTCAACAACCCCTCCCTCAAAAAAAAAAAAAAAAATACCAAAAAAACACCGGAAATCATTGAAAAAAAAAAACTCCAACCCCCCCCCTTCAAAAAAAAAAAAAAAAAATCACAAGAAAACACGAAAATCATAAAAAATCCCAACCCCTCAAAAAAAAAAAAAAAAAAAAAAAAAAAAAAAAAAAAAACCACGCCCCAAAAAAAAACACCGGAAATCATTAAAACGAAAACTCCAACAACCCCCCGCTAAAAAAAAATCTCAAAAACCCACCGAAAATCATAAAAAAAACCTCCAACAACCCCTCCCGCCTCAAAAAAAAAAATCCAAAAAAAAACACCGAAATCATTAAAAAAAAACTCCAACACCCCCCGAAAAAAAAAAAAAAAAAATCACCAAGAAACACCGAAAATCATAAAAAACTCCAACACCCCCCCTAAAAAAAAAATTCCAAAAAACACCGGAAATCATAAAAAAAACTCGAAAAAACACCGAAAATCATTAAAAAAAACTCCAACAACCCTCCCCTCAAAAAAAAAAAAAAAAAAAAACTCACCCCCCAAAAAAAGCCACGAACAAAGCCACCGAAATCCCGACGAAAATCCCCGACAGACCGACAACACCGAATCGCCGGGATGACCGCAGCAACAGGCTGGAAAGCAAAGGAGTTTCTGGAGTAATTAACGACCTCATTATCCTGGCTTGTTTGGGGTTCATTATGAGCTTTTCGAAATCGGGGAGAGTTGGGCGGGGGGGGGGGAGGGGGGAGGGAAGGGGGGAGATTAGGGGGGGTTCGATTTGGCCCTTTAATTTTTGAGCTTTCTTCTGTTTGTCATCTTTATTATCTTCGTTATTTCCTTATTTGTCATTTTATTATTTCTGTTATCTTATCATTTGTTATTTTATCATCTTTATTATTATTTCTTGTTCTATTATCTTTGTGGTTCCATTATTTATAATATTATTAGTCATATGTTCATTAGCTAACTTTGAAAAAAATATACATTTCACTGTCATATTTTATTATCTTATTTTTTTGTTTTTTGAAAAAAAAATCACTGTTATTATAATTGTTATCAATATTATCATTGTCATTATCATAATTGTTTATTAGTATCATTACTCTGGTTGTTATAATCATTTGTATTACAACTATTATTATCTACATTACCATTATTACCATCATGTTTATCATCATTATCAATGTAATTATCTTTATCATTATTATTGTTATCAACACTATCATTATCATCATTATTAACATTACCATGATAATGAAATCATTATTACTATAATGAGGATTATCCTTAATTGTTATATTTTTTAAATTTTATCATTATCATAATCGTTATTACCATTTGTCATTTTTTCTAAAAGAAATGTTTGTGGTCTATCCCGATAATATTTTACAACTGAAGTCATTTTCATTTGTAAATTTAATATCTTAAATATCTTAAAAAGGAATGATGATTGACAACGTAAATATTAGAGAATTGCACACACACACACACGCACCACACACACATCACTCTCTCTCACACACACACACACACACACACACACAACACACACACACACCACACAATCACACACACACACAACACACACACACCAACACACACACACACACACAACACCACACACACACTCACACACCACACACAACACACACACACACACACACACACACACACACACACACACAACACACACACACACACACACACACACACACACACACATACACAAACAGACTCACAACACACAAACACACACAATAATGATAATAATAATAATAATAATGATAGCATTCTAATAATAATATTAATGATAAGATAATTATTATCCTTATCATTATTAGAGGCTATCCGAGGGAGTTTAAGAAGGGAAGTGGGAGGGAAAGGGGGAGGGAGGGGGAGGGAAAGGGATAAACGGGAGATGGGGAAGGGGAACGGAGGAGAAACGGAAGGACTTAGAAAGGAAAAGTAAGAGGAAAAAGGAAAGGGAAAAGGAAGGGAGGAAGGGGGAGAGAAAGGAAGAGGAGGGAGGGAGAAGATGCAGGTTTGGAAGAAAGAAAGAAGAAAAGAAAGAAGAGGCAAGAAAGAGGGAGAGGAAAAGGGAGAATAGAGGCGAAGGAGTACCATTTTCTCATTTTTCCACGGATTCGGCTAGTTGTTTTATCATCGTTGTTGTTATTAAAGCAGTTTCGTTGTTCCTTTTTTATCAGCCTCTTTGTTGTCTGTGTTCATTTTGAAATTATCGGTTTTTAAAGACTTTTTTTCTATTATTCTTGCGAATTATTTTTGTATTATTCGTTTTCTTGTGAGTATATATATATATATATAATATATATATATATATATATTATTATATATTATATATATATATATATATATATATATATATATATATATCTTACACAAAACACACACACACACACACACACACACACACATACACACACACACACACACACACACACACACACACACACACACACACACACACACACACACACACAACACACACACACACACACACACACACACACATATATAATATATATATATATATATATATATATATTATATATATATATACACAATACTGGTAGAGGGGTGTGTGTGTGCTTCAAGTAAGATCCAAATAAGCTTTAGTAAGGAGGGGGAGGACGAGGGCGAGGGCGGGGGGGGAGGGGGTCAAGAGAGGCCTACGCAGCCCGCTCAGTCAGCTGTTATTAATGAAGACACTCGGAGGAGGGATTTGATGATCATGATTATTATAATTGGTTGGAAATTGATGGTGTTTGTGATATGCCGAGACCATGGCGACGCGTGTGAATGTGTCCGCTCCTTATTTGGCATTTGGTTTCAAGCTGCTTAGCTATTTAGGTTATACGCACACACACACACACACACGCACACACACACACACACACACACACACACACACACACACACACCACACACACACACACACACACACACACACACACACACACACACACACACACACACTATATATATATATATATATATATATATATTATATTATATTATATATGTATATATATATATATATATATATATATATATATATATATATATATATATATATATATATATATATATATATATATATATATATATAATACACAGATTTACACATTTACACACATATGTACATATATACGTGCACATACACGCAACACAAACACACACACCACACACACAACACACTTAGATACGTTTGTGTATATATGTATACATACTCACATATGTACATATATACTTACAGCACACACACACACACAGATACGTTTGTATATATATGTGTATATATATTTTCTATCTTTCTATATCTATCTATCTATCTATCTATCTATCTTATCTATCTATCTATCTATCATACTATCATACATATATATATATATATATATATATATATATATATAATATATATATATATATATATACATACACGCACACACCTCTCCTTCTCCCTCTCTGCGCATGGTTCTTCCCCTTTCTATCTCGTCTTCTCCTCTCCCTCCCTCCCTTCCTCCTCCTTTCACTTGGTTCTCCCCATTCCACCTCTTATCCTTTCCCTTATCCTCCCCCCACCTTCTCACATCCTCCCTACCTCTCCCTCACTCTCTGTTCATCTCTTCCTCTTCCTCTTCCTCCCTCCTCCTCTTATCCTTTCCTTTCCTCTTCTTCCTCATTCTCTCTAACCTCTCTTCCATTTCAGCTCCCTCTGTCTCGTCCTCCTCCCTCCTCCTCTCATCCTACCCCCTCCTCCTCTCCCTCACTCTATTCCTCCCTTCTCGCCTCCTCCATTCCACCTCTTCTCATCCTCTTCCTCCCTCCTCCTCTCATCCATCTTTTTTGTCATCTCCTCCTTCCTTCCTTCCTCCTGTCCTCCATTCCACCTCTACTCATCATCTTCCTTCCTTCCTCATCGTCTCCCAAACTCTCCTCCTCCTCTCCTCC